CAAGTGACGCACGAGCCACGCAAGCAAACCACGCAAAGTCACGCGGTTGTTCGAGAGGGGGTCCAGTCCAACCCAAGCCCGACCAGAGTCCAGTTCTGATACTGATCTATCTTGCTCGGCAAACTCCGAGGGACCAAAAGAAGTCGGTGCACCAAGCACGATCCTTAACCAACCAATGGCTTCGGGAATCGGGCCCAGGAGTCCAGCTTGAGGTTATTTCACTTTCTTTTATCTTTTATTTCATTTCGTTATAGTTCCTTTAGACCAGGCTTTTTTCTGTTGTTAATTCATATCTTCACTCTTTTTCTAAAACCCTTTCCAAATCCCTCCACCTCTTAATCTGAAACTTCTTCAATTCTCTTTGCGTATTTTCGGTTTATCGCCTTCAAAAGCCAGAAATGCCGGTGATCCGTTTGAGAGCTATCTGATGCCCAATCCCTCGTGCGGGTCATGATTTGACAAAACCCTTTAATATACCTCAGAGTGACACAGTTTAAGTTCAAGATCAAGACTGAGAGGCCGAAGCACTGTTCGCCTTGAAATCAGGCATAAACACATTCATACAGAACATTGGTGCAACTTTGTGAAGAAACCTACTTCTAAAATGTTCAACATGTGATGAAACGGAAGGTATTTGCCCATGACATGACCAAAAAAAAATCTTCCAAATTTCAGCTTGCTAGATTGACCTGAAACTCCTGCAAAGCGGTCATTGGTTTGGGACTATATAACGCACCATCAACTGCTGCCAAATAAGGGTCAAAGACTGATTTCCAGGGAAATAGAATGGCATATGCTGATGCATCACTATGTAGAACCATTCCAGCTTAAACTGAATTGGATGGTACAAAGGCTCCACTTTGTCTCCTGAAAATGGAATCCATGGATACAACCGTGCATGTATGGGAACAGTTTCTCAACATGGCTCCCATGAACTGCTGCCAATAATTTCGGCATTACCATATTATTAAGAATTCCTTGGAGAACTTGCCGAGGCCGAGGCAAGAGTTCATCCCAAGACTCCAAGAATCTTAACATGCGTTCAGGGTCTGTAGGCTCCCATGAATTTGTAGCTGCAAACCTAATAAAGGGACCAAGGGTGAAGTTAACTATTTTCCAAAAGAAAAAAATTGCTAACAAATGGAGAGCAACTTTCCTTATCAACAGTGAATAGGGAGATGAAATACCAAGCTCTGAATCACTATACATACCACCACAATCAATGGCATCATTCCCTTTTAAAAGCTCCTTCCAAGATGACATATTCACCCACCTGCAATGGGTTCAGCAATGGCTGCCAGCCCTTAAAAACCCTAATTGTCAAAGGTAATGCAAATGCCGTCTTTAAAGACTACAAGTTGGAATCTCACAAATGGTTGAATCTTTAAAAATTACGCAACAGGGAAAATTTGGTCTATCCCAGTTCCTTTAAAGATCCAGGCCTTTACTTGGATTCTCGCACATGGTAGAATCTTGACTATAGACCAGCTACAGAGACTGGGCCTATCATTACCACCATTGTATCTTTGCCAACAAGATAAGGAGACAAGAAGCCATCTCGTTCACTGCCCAGCCATCTCTCCTTTGTGGAAGCATCTGCTGCCTCTATTTCAGATACCATGGGCATATCCAAAGGACATCAATGAACTCCTCGAGGCTTATCTAGCCCCTTCTGTCCCCAAAAATAGGTCGTCGCATATGGAGGATCACTATAATGACAATATGGATCGAGAGGAATACCAGAGCCTTCCGAGGGAAAGCTCCGCCGGTGTCCTCCCTTATAGGTAGCACAAAAGCACTGGACCTTTTGGGCATGGAGACCGCTGCAGTGTACGAACTTCGGTTCCTCCATCTTCATTTCCAACTGGAGCAATATCTACACCTTGCACCTAGGCCACCCCATCCACAGGTCAACTAGGTACCTACCCCACAGTATTATATCAAGCTCATTATTGATGGCTGCTCGCAACGAAATCCAAGACCTACCAAATACGGGGGCCACCTCGCAAACTGTACCAATGAGCTCCCAACTTTCTCGGGTTCTATAGGCATCTCAGATTCAACTACAGTTGAAACTTCTGCGCTGCTTGAGGGCCAAAGAAAATCCATAATGTTTGTCCAAAACTCTCAAACCCTTGTGGTGGAAGGTGACCGTAAGAATGTAATATCTTAACCAAGGGGCATACACGACATGGAGATTAGCACATCTTTATGGCCATATCTTAACACTTTGCAGGGAAGCTCGAGTCATCTTGAACCACATCCCCAGGGAGGCCAACGCACTGATTAATCATCTCACAAAAGGTACAGCAGCACCAATGACTACCACAGAAGCAGCAATCTAAAAAACCTCTCTCCTCTTCCTTCTCTTTTTTCTCTCCTCTCTCTTCCTCTCTCTTCTCTACTCTCATTCCCCTTATTACCACCTTTCACCATTTCTAATCTCATCCATCACTATTTATTTTTTGTAATAACCACTACTGGCTTTTGTAATAGCCTACTTCTCGTGGGCTGAAAAGAGCTTTCCTTTCTTTTTCTTTTTTTTTTTCCGAACCATTTTTGTAATAGAGCAAACCCATCTCTTGTGGGTAGCCTAAGGGTTCCTTTTTGTACATACCTGTTCCTTTTTGTACTATTTTGAACATATCTATAGAACTTTACCCATCCTAAAGAAACACTCAAATTTTGAGACACATAAATACAATACATTATTTGGAGATCGACAATTTCCTCATTCACGAATTTGATTCCCCCAGCTTTGAGGGAATACACAAATCCATCAAATTTATCTCATTGCATTGCCGCCTCTATCATGGACAGAATGCATGGCTTCTTGATAGGTGTATTAGTTAAATGGATAAGCAGGAGGTTCACACAGAGACATGCTAGTCCACTTTTAGTAAGATAATGCATAAACTATCTATCCATAAATACAACTTCTGCATCAAGCAGATCTTCGTTAAAGTATCCACCAACTTCGAGGCATCCTTTGAAGTATCCATCAGAAAAGTCCATGTTCAGGGCCCCTCCAAACAATGACAAATATGGCATGACATGGCTAATTTGACATCAAAACTCACCTATCTTCCATCAAAAATCAAGTGGAAACACATAATTAAACCCTTGAAGACAAATTTCCGAAGAAGGTAAAGCCTCTTCCTCCTGAATCCTAAACATCCTGAAGATAGAGGAACAATGTGGAATATACTCATTCATTGCCATGCTCATTTTCACTAATGAAAACAACACATCATCAAGAATATGTGGTTCGCAATTTGACAACAGTAGACTATATATTGTTGGAAACTGAGATGGCTTGCACCAAAATATATGAGATTCACAAACCATCTTGATTTTACATAGATACCGCGTTTTCAAAATTTCAACCAAAGCCAGAAAGACGCCATACATGGGACGAGAACTCTTCCACTATATATTACACTATTAAAAGAAAGTGATGTGCCCCTTTTCCATGATAAGTGAAATTGATGCACATAGCCAATAAAGCTGAAAAACAAGCTTATCCTCACATGAACTCTACCGCAACTTGTCTTCTCCCTAGCTATTATGAAACTTAGAAATAAATGATGAGTTTATTGAATTTCACTATTCTCAGAATAAGCCCCAAGCCACTCCATCTATTAAATTCCCAAAGGCTTATTTTTTCCCAAAACCCTAATTTTCCTCTTGATAGTAAAAACCCTTCTCTTGGAAAATGCCCACAGAAACACCAGGGATACAGGTTTGTATTAGCTTCCATGATGAAAAGCCTCATCTAAACCAACTTTAAAAATTGTCCACTCCTAGAACATTATCATCTCAAATTAAATGCAAAATTTCATAATCATTTCGGATCTAACAATATTCCACAACAATTTGTTTCTTTTGAGATCCTCTACCATTAGTCACATGTTTGACACATTCAGAATCCTAAAAGCCTAAAACAATTCATTGTGTCCTACAAACCAACTTGTATGATAACAAATTTAGTCCCAACATGTCCTAGTGTTTTAAATATATTTTATTAGCACAAACTTTTAGGCCACCCATAAAATTCCCTGGGTTAATTACAAAATTTCTCATCACATGTTTCTCAATATCAAATATCTCTTTCTAGCTTTCTAATTACACAGTTTTGTATATTTTTCATAGTCACTTGGTGTGTTTATAACCTTGGAGACTTCCTGTAAGCATCCCTATGCATTTCAGAATTTAGAAAAAGTTATGGATAAGATAAACAAGACCTTTGGCATGGCTTCTGTATATTTTTCATGATCACTTGGCTGTGTTTATAACCTTGGAGACTTCCTATAAGCATCCCTGTGCATTTCAGAATTTAGAAAAAGTGATGGATGAGATAAATAAGACCATAGACATGCCAAAGGAAAATATAGTGGGTGACATCACCCAATTCTTAGATGCAGCAATCTCAGAAGCGGATGTCATGCACTTTACTTTCCAAGATATATTAGTGGCTTTTTCTATGAAGATATATTACAACTGCTTATGCATCATGATGTGTTACATATGTTATATACTCAGTTGGATCAGCATTTTTCCACAGCCAGGGAAAGTACTAATTAATTCCAAAACTACAATCACTTAAAGCTTCCACAATATATTGGAGCTATTTTCATGGAAGCAAGTGACTTCATATGATACAATGTTTATAGCAAAGAGAGTTGCTGTATAAACAGAGGCATTTCGGGGGGGAAAAGAAAGAGAGCATGGCTTACAATTCATCACCCACTTTGCACAACATACATATATTTGCGATGGGCAACCCATTGTTCCACATGTTATATAAATCACCTCAAGCTCGCTATGGAATAAAATAAATGTTTAAACAAATGATAGATCCCTAGCTACGTTGCATTTGTTTGTTAGAGGATTTTCAAGTGAAGCAATTGCATGCTTTCTCTTCCCTCCTTTCATGTTCTGCTAGGAAACAAATGGATCTGAAGCTCTTGGTTAGATAGAAAACTATTTACGGTAAAAAATCAAGAAAAATTTTAATGTATTGAAATGAGGAATCTTCTCAAACATAACAGTACTCTAAGCTATCACAATTGCTTGTCCTCAAACTTGGAGTTAGCCCAATGACCAGTAGCAATAGGTCAAGATACATTAAACTAGATTTCAGTATCTGGGTTTGCTGAATGGCATCAAATCTAGAAAAGGGAACATCAGGAATTTCAAAATAATCCACCATCAGATCTCATGAAAGCTCACCAAATCACACCCCCACAGACTCAATTCGTAACAATTGCACAATAGAATTAAACAAAGAATGGAAAGATGAAATTGCTACCGAATCACAAGCAACACTCTGGAAGAGAAAAAACAGAATTTTACTAAAATTTGCACAAAACTTGATAAAATAGAGTTAAAGCACGATTCACCATGATCGATGCTCTCTTTAGATCACAAAATCTTCGATCAGTAGACAAGAGGAATAAACTTCTGCCTGACTTTACTCTTGTATTCAGCATAACTGTCCCCAAACTCCTTCAACATCAAGTCTTCCTCCAATTTAGCCTTTTGATCATAATACAAAATACACACAATCACAACGAAAAGCAAGCTCAGAGGAGCTCGAAGGGCAGCACAATAGGTAGCAAACATAAGCATCATTGACGCATAAATGGGGTGGCGAACCCATCGATAAGGTCCAAATTGAACCACGCACATCGGAACTGCAACTTTCTCAGAGTAATTTGAAAGGTAAAGAGTAGCATGGTACTGCATAAACAGAGTCAACAGGATCAAACCCCACAAAACAAAATTGCTCAAACCACCAGGAATTTGATGAAGTGGGGGGCCTTCAAAAGCAGCAAACCAGTGACCAACAAGAATTGCCAAGGAAAACAGTGATCGAGCAAAAATTGGCAATCTTACGTCCCATTTGGGGTTGTGGGGCCGAAGATAGTAATCCCCATAGAGCCTCTTTCTCACGCTAACATTAAAGAAGAAGAAGTAATGGTAGACAAAGAAGAAGGCTATAGGCCAACCTTCAAGGAAACCATTAAAGTGGGCGGCTGGAACCAGGGTTAACCAGGCAAAGGTCGATGTAACAATAGCTAATTGCTCAAGGATACCAGCTTTCCCTTTGTAATGGCGATATGCGGAGAAGATACCTAAAAAACCCAAGAACAATGCCAAAAACCAGGGCCAGAGGAGCCATGTCCAGCTAAAATACATCCAAAAGAAAGGGTTTGTCAAAACCCTGACCGTGTTCTTTGTAGCTGAGAGAGCAATACAAACTATTCCCACCCATTTGCATATTTCCAAAGGGTTTGTGTGCAAAATCCTTGGAAAAACCCTGTTTCTCAAGAAACTCACAGAGGTGTCAACTCCGAAGAGATTCCCTGAGGTTTTGGCTCGAAGGTTTTCCTTAGACTGCACTCCGTCGGAGCTTGAGCATTGAATAACCAGAGGGGAGAGAAACCTAGAGTTTCTATGAATGAGCTTGACAGATTTTGCTCTCAGAGAGAGTTTCGCTTTTACAGAAAAAGTGGAAGCAACGAGAAGAGAAGTAGTTGTTTGACTGTTAAGATGAGGTTTTGGGAGGTTAGAGAACAATGGAGTTGAGAGGGTTGAGGTCTGCGTAATGGAGGTCCCGACCTCCATTGATGATTGTAGAGCGAGAAAATGGGTTGTGAGTTGGGTTTCTCCTTCCTTTCAGCTCTTGAGGAGAGGGCGTGAAGGATAACGACAACACAGAGAAGAAAGAGATTGAAGACCAGGCGGCAAAAACACACTCCCGTTTGGGCCGGTGTTTGAAGAACCGGATAAGAACCACGATTCGGATGACTGAACTGAACTGACTTCCACTTAAGGGTGCACTTTGCATACAACCGAGGTTCTAAGCAATCAAAATAGAGCCCACCTTCAAATAGTGTTTAATACTTAACATTTTTGTGATGGTCTTAAAATATATTTTTATTTGTAATTATAAAATTTAAAATTTTATAAATAGTGTAGATTGAGTAGATCTATGAAAACTTGAAAATTGATGATAAAAAAATGCGTTACAAGATGCACTATTTCTTAAACTTAAAATCCGTTTTTTTCTCATATTCATGCTTCTTGATGTCGAGATGATCAATTTGAGAATATTTGGACATCAAAACAACTTCTTCTAATGAAATTTTTTAGGTGGGCTCTATATAAACTTTTTCCCTTCAATATTAAAAAAGAACTAAATTTAAAAATAAAAAATAATAAAAAGATAAAGTAGATTGGAATCATGTGATTTTTTAGGACAAGCTCACCTAGTTCTCTATAGAAGTTCTATGGGAATCAGATTGAATCCTGACTCACTAGCCTTCCTGTATGCAAAAAGGAAAAATTATTGACTAGAAATATTAAAAAAACTAAACTATGCGATACATGAAAGAAAAATTTTATATAAGAAAAAATTCAACTTCTTCTCAAAATTTTTTTATATAACCTTTCCCTTCAATGGTCAAAATCGTTTGACGATTGACCTCTCTAACGTGAAAAGCGGAAGCCCGGCAAAGGGTTAGGCGTCCAGTAATAGTCGAGAACAAAAGGTTAGCTCTGATGCCCCCATTGGGACACTCCGATAGGGACTGTTGAATCCTTGTAGGTCCTACGCAAACATGCGGAGCGACCCCCACCTGCTGTCCTGCTCCTGCTGCAACCTCCACCCCAACTCAGCGATAAGGGCAAGATTTGCTATCTCAAGCGACCTCACTCCCATACTAGCCCGCTTCGCACTACTCACCTATCCCAAGCCACAAGGTGGACACCGTGGTTCGAATCACCTCCCGCCCATAAGAAAGCTCGCTGCAGGCTCTCCATCACTGATTTGACTTTCTCAGGGGCATAAAACCAAGACATGACATATGTAGGGATGCTCTGGATAGCTGATTTTCTCAATGGAGCTCTACCAGCCAGAGTGAGCAACTTACCTTTCCAGCTTGCCAGCTTTTTTTGGATACGATCCACCACACGCTTCCACAGATTAGTGCTGGATGTCCTAGTAAAAAATGGCAGTCCTAGGTAGATGGAAGGCCACGATCCTTCAGCACAACCTAGGATATGACTAATACGCCTTTTTCTCTGATCAAAAGAGTGAATGAAGAAAGTGCTCTCCCTGAACTGAAAATGGATTTTCTGACCTGAGTCTCTCTAGTAATCCTCCAGAGTAGCCCTGATTGCTCTCACTGACAGCTGGTTTGCTTTCACAAAAATAAACGTCTACAAACTGGAGATGGGATATAGGGCTCACTCCATGAGCGGGGCAAATCCCTTTCCCCTCCAAGCACTTCTTCTTCAGACATATCCCCCTCCGCTGCTATAATGAACAGATAGGGCGATAGAGGGTCTCCCTGCCTTAGGCCTCTATAGCTCTCAAAATAACCCCTCGGCTACTCGTTGATCATCACCGAGAACTTAGGAGTTGAAATGCACTGCTCCACGAGAAGGCACCACCACTGCCCAAAGCCAAATTTGAAGCACCTGCCTCAAGAAACCCCTGTCCAACCAATCATATGCCTAGCCATGTCGAGTTTCAAACTCTAACTCGCGATTTTCCGGCATTCTTCATGGAGTGAATAATCTCGTGGGCTAAGACCCCGCAATCTCAAATCTGCCTCCCCTGACAAAGGCCCCTTGACTCTTTGAAATAATCTTTGGAAGCAATCCGTTGGCCATGATTTTGCTGAGAATCTTGTAAACCATGTTACACAAACAACTTGGCCTGAATTGAATGGATCGAGATTCCTGTTCCGCCTTGGGAATTAGGAGAATTAAGGTTGCGTTGATTTCCCTAAGCATCCTTCCTTTTTAAAAAAAATCCTTCACTCCCAAAGAAATAATAGAGCCTCCTCTCCTTCAAGCTCTCAGATCATGTCCCTATGCCGCGAGTGGAGGCACCGAAGGAGTCAGGCTAAGATGCTTAGTAGAAGTAATAGGATAGAGTAGCTACCAGATGCCCTTCTTTTACTATAGGAGAGGACTGTAGTTGTTCCATCCGCTTCCTTCCCTTCCACCTTCGATCTCTTACTCTTATGAAATTAGAGACAGTTCTACCTAAGCTCGAGAAAGGTCTCGGATGAAGCGCCACGAGATCTGACTCGAGAGGTAGACTCGTGAGAATGACTCGACACGAGACCTGACTCGCAAGGATGACTCGCCAGGACCAGGAGTGGAGTAGAGTATCGCGAGGAGTGGAATCTCGAGGAGCCCCGTGATGGCCCAGAGGGCGAGACCTCACGAAACAGGACTCGCTAGTCTTCCTCTCTTGATTAGACTCGTTAGTGGTGTCAGCTGCGCCTTCGGCTTCGCCTTAAACTCGTGACTATTACACTCGTTAGTTTAGTATAAGACTCGCTAACGAGTTCGCCTTCGTCTATGCCCTCCTGGAGTGAGCGATAGCGAACGAAAGATGACTCCTAGCTATTAGGCTAGGCGCGTGTCTTGTCTCGTGTCAAGTCATCCGTCAGGGCCCCGCGAGGGGGCCCTCAGGACTTTAGTACTCCTCTCTTATGAGAAATTAACAATCGCACTATAGATCTCGTTTTCCTCTTTCTTATTAATGCAATCACGTAGTACCCCCTTGTACCTCTGCCAAGTGAGAAAATGAATAAAAGGATATGTAATAGATAGGGAAGGGATGGACAAGCCAGTCTGTCTAGTAAGCTGTCTAGTAAGGGCTACTGGGGAGGAGAGAGTCCACCTTTCCCCTTCGGCTTTATTGGGCAGACAATACATTAAGCTATCACTGCCGAGAAGGAAAGCGTAGCCGAAGGCAAGCCAGGGGAGGCAACAGTCATATCTACTCTTGCCTTTATCAATCTTAAAAGGTAGTCGCTCTAGCCTTTATAAGCAGTAGCTCTTTCCTTTAAATAGTAGGAGAGAGTATTGTCTACTCTTCTCCTTCGGCTTATTGTAGTTGCTCTCTCTTCTTCCTTATGTAGTTCCTCTCTTGCTTGCCTTAGTGTAGGAGCTACACGAAATGGGTCTTACCTTTATCCTATAGGCTCTTAACGTAGCCCAACTCCCATGCTTCCCTACTTCCCTAAAAAGTAGTAGGAGAGAGAGTCTACTCTAAGCCCTCGGCTTGTTGCATTGATCTCTCCAAGAATTGACTCATTCAACAACTATCTGTCTTTCCGTCTGTTCCTGTCCATTGCTTAAATCGATCGTGGGAATCACGTAAAAGCAAAGCATGCACCTTGGGGAGATGAAGATTTAAAGGCTAGGGATCGGGTGGTGGCGAGTAGGCGTGCATTGAACCTCTTGCACCGAGAGATGGAAAGGTTGACCATCCATGTCGAGGTATGGCACCAACAGCATGGGCCAGAGAGGCGGCAAGGGATTCATCTCCTCCTCATCCCGGGTGCTACAGTCCAATATAAGAGGCCTTTTTAAATGGGTCATTGCTTCTTTTTTTTTCGCAAAATCAATTTGAAGATTCTTCAGAACATAGGATGTTCTCAAGATGATCAACGTATAAGAATTAAAGAAACAAATCAGAGATGCCTTGGGTCCCACACGTGTCATGAGGTGACATCCATCCTGCGAGACAAACTCACATGGACCCACACATTGGACAAACCACCTTCATCCTCATGTTTCCCACGTCTTTCCCTAGGTTGGTAGATAAGCTGTTGTTGTATGTAGCTATGTATTAAGGTCTTGCCTATGCATCTGGTCTAATTCTATTATGTGTTGGTCATAAACTGTATAGAAATTAAGCTAGTGCCTGTGTGTTATGAATGGATTTAAAGTCTAGAGTCCATTACTCGTAGCCCATTCATGTAATCGGGTGAAGAGATTTACATGATGATGAGCAGGGGACAGGTCAAATGGCCTGGTCCAGAAGAAAGATCTATCCCCCCGCCCAGAACCAACCGATCAGTGAGGTCAGAGCCGCTAGATGGATCCGTAGATTCCATTCCAGATTGTTGTGCCGGAGTATCTTACTTGGCCATCGAAAGCGAATTCCCACCTCGACAGGCCTGGACAATATTATCCAATAAGTCTCTGTTTCCATCCTACTGTGTCTTCAGTAAGCAGATTCCAAGCCAATTGATTTTTAGGCCTCCAACAATTATTGGAATGGTTGGAGACCCAATCCCCCCTTCGGTTTGGGCTGACATATCAGACTCTGGCCAAGTATAGTTTTAAGTCTTTTTGGTCTTGTCGACCTCCAGTCCACATGAATTTTTGACATACCCTGTTGCCTTGCAAATACTCACAGGGACTTTGAGAATGGTCGCCATGTGACATGCATATGCCTGCTTGACATGCTTTATGAGAACTGGATGACCAGTAAAGCTCAACCATGAGTTGCTTCAGTCTGCGATTTTTTTAAGTCTGGTCTCCAGTAGGATCAATCATTCTCTTTTGCGGATAGCTTTCCGAAAGATAAATAGGGACGCCGAGGTATTTCCAGGGTTTGGTGATGTTTCCCATTGAGCAGTGAAGCAGCCGAAGAATCTCTGTCGGTGTACCGGAACATTCAAAAATAGAATTTGACTAACTTTTCGAATAGAAGAATTTCTAATTCCCCCAGAAGCCTAGAAAATCGCAAGGTATGAGAGAGGTAATTGTGGCTCTACGCACGTTATGATGACTGTGTCATCAGCAAATTGGGAAATCAGGGGAGCCTCCATCCCCGGTTTTATATTGAGTCCCACAAGTTTCCCCTGTCGTTGTTGTTTCTTGAGGGCTCTGTTCAACATTTTGGCCACTAACTCCTTACGGGGATAACGGGCATCCCTACCTCAAGCCCTTGGTCGCATGGATGAATCCTGCTGGCTGACCCTGCATCAAGG